GCAGCTCCTGCCAGTGGCGGTCCTCCAAGTACCACACAATGACGCTGTACACAGTGATCGCAAGCAGCACAATGGTCAGCAGCAGCACGATAGCCACGTACGCCCTCGCACCGCCGTCGCTCGGCGCAAGATGGTTGGCCGCGCTGATCACGCACAGCGCCGAAAGGAGCACAAAGCTCGCAGTGTGCATCACCGTCAGGAAGGCCGAGCGCATCATGTTCGTGAAGGCAACCACGCCCGCGCCCGCAATCAGCACAGCAGCCATGCAGAAGTACTGGACGTGGCAGCCTCCCACGGACGGTTGCACAGCAGCAATCAGACCCACCACGCACAGCGCCGACAGCTGGAACACGCACCAGTACACGTAACTGCCCCTCATGTTCGTCAGCATGCCGCCGTACATCCGCTGCTGCGCCGCAGGGTGCCAATACCCGACGGGGTACAGCAGGCGCTCGTGCAGCGGCTTCCTCAAAAACTGCCAGTACTTCGTGAAGCTCGCGCCCGTGTGGCGGGCAATCAAGTAGCACACACCAGCAGGGAACGCCACACCGTACAGCACGCCAACGACACCAATCACGCAGTGCTGCACGCGGGCGTCGGGCATCGCCAGTGCGAGCACGGAGCCAAAGAATATGCCGAGATGCATCGCGTGCGCCACAACGTACGTCAGGCTCGGGAAGCGCATCGCCGCCCACGCACTCGCCGCGTCCACGCCGCGCCACCGCTGGAAGGCCGCCGTCACACCGCAGTGCACGCACCCGAACACAGCGGCGAGCAGCGCGTTGCCCAACACCATCCACAGCGGGTCACGGGCAGCGAACACCGACAGGAAGTACTGCAGCGCAACGGTGCTCGCACGCTCCTGCGACGAGGCACATGACATCCTCGCAAACACGCCAAGTGCCTGCATCTCCAGGATGGAGCCCAGCCCGCCGGTCACCACCATGGCAACAGCCGCCGCACCCGCAACAACGCCGGTGATCGCCGAGAGGGCGCTGGCAGCAGCGGGCAACGTGTTCGACCTGATCGTGAAGGACCCAAGCAGCACACCCTTGCAGCCGCCGAAAACCGCCACAGCGTCGCAGCGAATAACTATCGTCTCGTCGGCAGCAATGAAGTAACCGCGGTGCACGGGCACAGCCAGCCCCAGGACGGTGGACGGATTCGTCGCGTTGCGCATCCACGTCGCGTTGCGCAGCATCGCTCCCCACGGACCACCAAACCCGCTCGGCTGCGCCGTCGACACCGGCACGAAGCTCAGGTGCGTGCCGATCTTCGGGTCGCGTGCCCACCGAAACGGCGGTGGCAGCGCCACCATCAGCCATGTCGGGAAGGCGCTCCCACCGCCGCGGATGTCGCTCTGCGTCAGGCTCCCACCAGCCGCCGTCGTCGTCACGGCGAGCGTCGGGCACGCCACATCGCTCCACCACAGCGTGCTGCTCACCGACGCCGTCGGGGTCCGCGTGGGCGGCAGCGCCACCGTCTCCGTCACTTGCAGGGTCTCCGTCGACCCGTAATGCGTCCTGCTCAGGCTCGGCGTCCACGTTGGCGTCAGGCTGCGCGTCTCCGTCAGCGTCGCCGTGTGGCTCAGCAGCGGCAGGACAGGCGTGCGGTTGCACCCGTCCACGTGCGGCAGGTACACCGGCAGACAGTCGCGCCCGTGCCCGCCCTCAGCACAGCGGCAGCGACACGACACCGACATCGCCCT